GAGGAAGGAGCTCTGCCCATTGCCATTTGCCCTGTCACTTCAGGCCCAGGTGGAAATGGGACACATCCCACAGCAGAATAAGGAAGAAGACCATTCACTGTACAAATGACAGTGAAGGAAAGGGAATAATTTCTTAAATTCCCTTCCCCACAACAATTTACAGAGTTACACAAATTTTAGCATCCACGCGCTGATTTTTCATCAGGTAGAACAACTGTTCTTACATTCACTGAAATGCAAGAAAGGTGTGAAACGGTGAAAAAATGAAACACCTGATGTACCACAGTAGAAAATCAAATTATCTCTGCAATGGCATAATGTAGTGTTGCAAAGTACAGCATACATTTAACACTCCCAGTCTTTATGTCTTTCATGACAGACCACACCTGAGTAGCAGTCATCTGACATTCTGGGGAATGAAGGACAGAAAGGAGAAGGAAACCTGAGTCATCTGAGGTAAAATGTTATTATGGGTTTAAAAGCATAGCAGTTCATTAGGAAGATCCCATTTTTTCAAGTGGGTCAAGGTGCTGAAATATTCTGCTTTTCAACCAAAGCTATTTTGCCAATTTTCACGTGGGCAGCCTTTCACTGAAAAAAAAGCAGTTTTCCAAGGAAGATGCATGATTTGTATATGAGGAAAGGAAAAAAAAAAAAAGCTATATTTTTTGATAAAAACATCATTTTTCCTCCATCAGATAATGTTTGCTATCACCTCTATTTGACAGGGAACTTCCTGTTAGCAGTGCTCCAACTCAAAGGTGGGTTGATATCAATGCAAGGTTTTGTTTATTCAGAGATGTCAGGATCAGGCTTTAAGTCTGTAGAAACAAGAGGCCCTGCTACTGTTTTACTCCTAGATGTGCAGCTGATGGGTGTTCAGCCTCCAGGACTTAAGATTATTGAGATAAGGTTTCAGATAAACGTCCAAATGTTTAGATCTTTATCTAACCCGAAGCTCTGAACCTTTAAAGGATTACCCACCTCCAGGGATAATCCTGTAGTGATTTCAACACCTGTACTGAGTCAAAGTGAGTTCATAGTCTCCTGGCCACAAGAAATGGTTCAAGCCCACCATTTGTTTTGGATGGCTAAGAGCATCCACGTCAGATCTGAACATGATTAGCTGAACATTCTTATTTAAAATGACTCCATCATGGGATATCTCCAAACAGTCATCACTTATTACCACGGAAAAAACAACCTGTGACATTATGCTTCAGTGGCCTACAGAGCAAATATGCCCTGCATGTTCTTATGGTGAATCAGAAGCAATAAATAACCCACATTTTTATAGATATTTAAATGAGCAGCTTCTCTGTCAGCATTTTGCTTTGGAAACAGACTTTGCTGCCCTCTTTTGCAGTTGGCAAGAAAATGTGTTCGTGTTGGCACACAGGAAAGCTATACTGTAGGTTACAGTGTTGATCCTAAAGTTTACTGTCAACGGATACAAAGCGTGGCATCTTGAAAGTGGCTATTTCCCTCTGTTACTGCAAATATCTTAGACATGACTGAGGGAACCTTGTTTCACACCTCTTCCAGATTCTGAAGAGTGGGCTGTGCGCTGTTCTCCATCTGAGGCAACAGCTTGTCCAAGTGCCCTGAGCAGCAATTGGACTTTGAGCTTTTTTCAAGCTCCTCCCAAACGAAGTAGTAATTCTTAGCAGGTTTACTGCAGTTCTTCCAGCAAATCCAATAAATTACTCTGGGTGTAGTTTCATTTTGAGACGCTATGCTGATGCTTCACAGAGAAGCAGGAATTGGGAGGAAAGAAAAAACACTTTATAAACATGTATGCACCTGCGTGTATGTATGTAGGTAGTTTCACATTATTTCACCATGGATTTGAAAGTGCTTTACACATGTTAACTGATCATAACACAGAGATCTCCTTTCCTTATTAAAAAAAAAACAAAAAACAAAAACATGCATTATTCTGACAACAAAATTATAGACAGAATGCAATCTTCCCTGGGGCATTTAGGCAAATCCTTCAGCCTTCCTGAGTCCCTCCTTAGTGTGAAAGGAAGGCAGAGGTTTTTAACAGAAGGGTTGCCCAGTAGACTGAACCTGAGCAAGAAAAATAGGGCTTACTATTCCTCACTTGAGAAGCTCATCTGCTGTAAGCAAATATACCTCTGGAAACAACTACTGGCTTTGATCACTCCTGAAGTACAACAGTATTTAAGGAAAAGCTGATCTTATTTTAATCACTGGGTCTTCAGCTCATCTTTGTAATTAGAAGGAAAGCTTGCCTTGACAGTGCTCAGGTGGAATGCATTGGAAACATATGATTAAATGGTTAGCCTAAGTTTAGCATTTCACTTCCAGAAAGCAAAACAATTTTTGGGTGCAAGAGATACTTGAAATACCAAATTAATTTACAATGGCCTATGTAGTGAGAGGAGACAAAGGGTGAAATCACCCTGAATTAAAGTCACTTGAGACTCTGCTGTTGCTTTCAGTTGGGATAGACCTAGAAGATTCTATTTGAAAACGGAGTCTCTACAGATTTAGTTTTGCATTCATGTGGAGTTGAGTTGCAGGGAAGTTTACTGATAAGCAAACCAAATACAGATTGGGTGTGTTATCTTATGCCATGGCCATCTGATCAGTCTGAACTAAAAGCTCCTCCCTGCCATGTTGTGCATCTTACTGCTCAGCAACTTCAGGCAAATGTTTTTAATAGAGTTCTGCTGATTATACTTTCCACAATATGTTGTAAATCTCTGGAAGTGGAGGAGGATGTTTTCCTGGAGAGAAGAAACTTGTTTATCCTTTTAAATAAAACTGTTCTCTAGTAACTCTGTCAGTCTGGCTACCGGCAAGCAGAACTCCACAAAATTATGTCTCAGGAATGTTTGGACTTAGGGAAAATTAAGAATTAGTCTGGATGTCCGCAGCCAGAGAATTGCAGTCAATGGCTCCAAATCCAAACAGAGGCCAGTAGCAAGTGGTATCAGAGGTCTGTCATGGAATCAGGGCTCTTCAACATCTTTATCAACAACCTTGACAGTGAAACAAGTGTACCCTCAGCAAGTTTGCTGATGACACCAAGCTGAGTGGTGCAGTTGATGTAACAGAAGGCAGGGATGCCGTTCAAAGGGACCTGGAAAAGCTTGAAAACATAACATAAAACTTGAGAACATAATGAGGTTCCCCAAGGCCAAGTGTGAAGTGTTGCACTTGGGTTGGACTATTCCAGGTATGTGTACTGACTGGGAGAACTCATTGAGAGCAGCCCTACACAGAAGGATTTGGAGGGTTTCTGGTGGAAGAAAAGCTGGATGTGAGTCAATAGTGCACACTTGCAGCCTGGAAGGTCAACAGTATCCTTATCTGCATCAAAAGTGGAATAGCCAGCAAGAAGAGGGAGGTGATTGTCCCCCTCTACTCTGCACTCATGAAGACCCGTCTGCCTCCATCCCAGGACCCCAGCACAAGAAGGATTTGGAGTGAGTCTAGAGGAGGCTCACAAAGATGATCAAAGGGCTGCAGCACCTCTCATGCAAAGAAAAGCTAAAGGAGCTGGGCTTGTTCAGCCTGGAGAAGGCTCCAGGGAGACCTAATAGCAACCTTCCAATACTTAAAGAGAGCTTATAAACAAAAGGGAAACTGACCTTTCCTATGATCTGATAGTGAGAGGACAAGGGAGAATGTTTTTAAACGAAAAGAGAGAAGATTTAGGTTAGATGTCAGGAGGAAATTCTTTACTCAGGGAATGGTGAGGCACTGGAACAGGTTGCCCAGAGAAATTATGGATGCCCTGTCCCTGGAGGTATTCAAAGCCAGCTTGGATGAAGCTCTGGGCAATACGATGTAGGGAGTGGCAGCCCTGCCCATGGCAGTGAGATTGGAACTAGATGTTCTTTAAGTTGGGTTCTTCAAACCCAAACCATTCTGTGATTCTATGATTCTATTCTACCTGTGTTTTTCACCACACAGTCCACATCTAATTTATATAAAGATGTGATCCAGGGAGTATTTTCACCCACACTACTGTTATTATCATAGAATACCTACTGCTTGCATCTCTGATTCATTGCTTATTCCCTCACCATCCCAAGAAAGGTTTATCCTTTTTAGGGATTTAGCAATAGCAATGGGATGTTACTGCATGAACAGACAAGGCTGTGTTGTGCACTAGGCAGCCAATAATGTTAAGAGTTCCCAGAAGTTCCTCCAGTTCATTCAGCCAATACTTTCTGATATTCTCACCATCTTCAAATTTCATTCTAGGTTAAATAAAATTTAATGTGTGCCATTTGAGAAGTGCAAATGCATAGAAAACTTGATATAAAGCCATTTCCAGCTCTATTTTTTTATGTGATGGTGAATAAAGTCTTCTCTCACACTTGCTTGTGTTTCTAACACTTGTCTCAGAAGATCATCAGGAAAAATGCCACTTCCTAAACTGGATTTTATAATCTACACTACAAGATATGATTCATAGAATGGACTTTCTGGAATCTGTCAGGTACTTGAGTCTGGAACATTTTGCTTCTCGACAAGAAGGAATAAAACATGCAGTTACCTGTAGGAAATTATGGCTAGCCCATGGTAATGCTGTCCCATGGAAAACCATTGGTAGGAAATGAAATTCTAGATTTTTTCCAATTCATTTTCAAAATTCTGCTAAGTCAGAGTAGAAATTACTAATAACAAGCCCCCTGAACAATTGTTCAGGCATCAGATACATCATTTGTCTCTTTGGATGTCTCCAAAGAGATCCAAAAAAAGTTTTAAAGGTTTCTGTATCTCAGATATTCTGTATCTCAGAGGCTGAAGCTTCTAGATTTTAGGGGAGAGATGAAGTGAGTAGGAGACAGACTAGATATTTGGGTTTAAACTCTAATGCAGATTAAGATTTCAAACTTGTGAAAACATTTCTCCTATTTGGCTGCTTAATTTCAAACTTTGATGTTAGTCTGGCAATTTCTTTTAAGGACAAACATCTTGATAAACAACCACTTAATTCCATTTATTTCCATTTACAGAAGAGCTAAATGAAGCACAAAATGTTCCAGGAGTGCCTGACTCACAGTAAATGGCAGCCAGTCTTTGCTGAGGGCAGCAGTCATGAGACTATGGCCTAGAAAGCGAGGAAAAGAAACACTAATGGCCTGGAAACGTATGGCTTGGAAAGAAACATTGCTCACAAAAGGAGCAGAAACATCTTCCCTCCACCCCACTGAGTCTCCAGAAAGAATTCTTCTTTTCATTGTGTTCATCCTGCATTGCTGACACCCTCATGAAATCATGAATTTACATCAGCCAAGTTCCTCGGTGAAAGAAATTAACATACTGGACTGTTTTGCAAGGTAAAGTAGTGGGTGTGTACCTGAAAATGAATGAAACAACACAGAGAATACACGTTTTAGACTCTATGAACCATGGCTCAGACTGTGTGTTGAATAGTTTTGAATGATGAAGTAGCCTGTTGTTATTAGATTGATGTTTATTACCTGGTGAAACCCCTACAGCTATATTAATTGCATAAGAACACATATTAAACCTGTTGATAGGCAGAAAACAACTCAGTCTCAGTCTTTTCTTTTGATCATATTGCTGCTGTATGTTCTTTACCAGGCATTCAGCTTTTTTTGTAACAGTGGTTTCTCTTTCTGTGACATTCTGTGACAGTTGTATTAATGTTCATTGCTCAGAGAAGGACTGACATAGTACTGTACACAAATCTACTTCCTACATAAGTGATAAAATAGCATTTTTTTTGCATATTAGGCATGAAAATCTGAGCTTCCCGATGCAAAATATTCAGAAAGTTGTTTTGATGCCTGCAGTTCCTTGGCAACTTTCATTTGAAAACTTCTATATCTAGAATATCACATTTTATTGATTAGTAGAAGGAATCTGAGTGATTCTTCATTGTCCAAAGCTGAATGGAAAAGCAAATCCAAACGCCACCTCTTTTCAGAAAGTATGTTTGCAGAGGTCTCCATTTGAGCATAAGATGGCAGCTTACACCTCACTGATCACACATTCATAGGACATCAATGATCAAATAAAATATTGAAAATGGGGAGCATCTGTGAGTCCCTTATCCCTGGCTAGTGAAGTGAGCAGCTCAGCCGTCTGTTCCAGTATAACAAACACCCTCCTACAGCTTCTCAGATTGTGAATGGAGTCTAAAGTGCAGCTGCCTGTCAGGGGAAAGTAAGAGAGGAAGACAGGGAAATGGACAGGAATAGGAGGAAAAGAATAATAATAACAATGCAATGCTTTGAAAAGGTAGGCTTGACTCCAGCTTAACTTCAAAGACCTCTGAGCTGCATGGTAACTTAGCAGCTGGGAGGTTTTCATAATGATATTGTGCACTGTGCTGAAGTGGCTTCTACCACTGCGACGGAGCCACTCTGCAGAAGACTCTGGGGAATTACCTTGGTATTTAATTTGTGTTATGAAAACAGTGAGTTTGACTGCAGCAGGAATAGTTGCTTCCCAAACAGTTACCAGAATCCTATTGTTGTTCTCCTTCTTGTTGACCTTTTTGCTGGTTTTGCGATTGTAATAATGATTTTCCCGTCTTTGCTATCTTGAATTTGTTTGATTTATATTGTGCCAGGAATTCTGAAGGGGAAAAAGCAACCCATCTCAGGCAAAACGTTCTGCTCAACGATGGATTCTTAGTAATTTTTTTGAATGGAATTGTGACTGGAAATGCAAAGTTTTCCTTTCTTTAAGCATTTTAATTACATATGGCCATCACACACAAACATAGGGGTCCGTTTTCAGACATTTCTTCTGCTAGCACACAAGCTTTTAATTTTTTTTTTTTTTGTATTAAATTAAAAACAAATACTGACTTTTTTAGAGTAGAAAGGCTATAAAAAACCTCATAATGGTACTTGCATCCAGAAATTTACAGAGATCAATGACTTCCTTACTTAGTTTTGTTCTCTGATGGTATATACTGTGCTTTCTACTCTATCTTTCACATAAAATTCCTAATTGAAGAGAAAAGCTCTACCAGTCTGCTTTGGATAGCTATAGATAATCTTTCCTCAGAATCCTGTTTGCTGCATCTCTGTGTGCAACCTCTCCTTGACCTCCCATGAAGGTAAAGCTCATATTAAGTCTGGTTTAGCCCATGCTTTACCAGCATATGTCAAAGCAGACAACGGCATAACAAAATCATTTCCAGTTCAATTCTCCTGTGCCTTCTGAGACTTAGGCTGTAATTTCTCAAAGTCCAAGATGGTGGCAATATTAGGAAGGTATTGTGTTGCCTAGCACAGAAACTGCATTGTAAAATTATTTGACTATTAAATATGTTGGATGGGCAGCTGGATCATCTTCCCTTTGCCCTCTAATGGGCTAATGGCCCAAGACACTAGCACAAGAGAGTGTGTAACTGTGCCTCCGCCTCTGGTCAGCCCATGTTCCCCTTTACATTCTAACATGTCTTGCATTGTATCCACTATACAAGTACCAAGCTAAAAATTAGTGAAAGCAAATGTCTGCTAACTTAGACACAGATGAGTAAATGTAGGATGTTGTTTTGAAGACCAAGTCACTAAAGAATATAAAATAATTTTTATATTTTTTACCTAAATGTTCTTTATTGTAAGTAGTTGACTATATCTGAGGTAATATTTGCCTTTAAAACTATGCACCACTATGATAAGACAACATAGTCATTATGATGGTATTTACTGTGCTGCTTTTACAGGATGCTCATTCTGTTCCTGCACATTACTTTTCATTTACTACTTGTGGCAGTGTTTAAAAAAAAAATTAAACAAACAAATACCTTTTTGTATGTGTGTGTGTGTATCATTTGTATATGAAGGTTATGCTCTGCAAAGCTTACATTTTAATTGACATTTCTTATCTGCGAGGACAAATTTCTACAATTAGAGCAGTGTGCCTTAAGCTATTTATGAACGTCCTATTGGGAGACAATTATTATAATTATTATCTTTATTAATGTTAGAATGCTGTTAAAAACATCCTATCCACTTAAAAGACAGAAAAAACAGCTCTCCATCTTATACCCATTTCTTCCAAGACAGCTTGCAATCTACAGACACAAAAACATCTGAGAACAACTTTAAAAGTGTGCATAGCTGGGAGGCCAAAGTGGCTTTCATGGACTTAAGAAAATGCAAACGTAGTCCTTTATACATTTTATTAGAACCTAGATGACTGAACTGTGGAACTACGCTGTCTACAGTGTATATTTGTTTCTTAAATTACAGTAATATAAGTAAAATAAGGTAAACATGAATTGCTAGTTTGACACCAACTCTTCCAGCAATGATGTCATTTTGACATCTTCTCTAAAGGTCAGAGGTGTTATTTAAGCCTATTTCTTGTACTTTCAATGCAGAGGTCATATATACAAAAGGTTCCTGAGTTTTTAAGCCTTGGGTCCACCAAAAAAATCTATCTTGTATGAAGATAGACTTTTATGTGTTCCACCAGACTTTTTATTATTTTGTTACCAAAGATACAACCAGTTCACAATAGCCATCTGATTTATTTTTTTATTATGCGCGAGGTTATTTGCATGGATATTTGTAGTAGTAGATTTTAGCACAAGGTAGAGAGGAAGCACAAGGAAAGCAAGATGCTGCAGTTGAACAAAAGAGAAGAAGCTCAATATGAATAGCCCACAGAGCCTCGTTTGTTATTTTGCTCCATTTTTCTTGGCAGCACCAGCTAATACTCGTCCTCACAGCACAGATGGAAATGACTCAGTAAATCTCCACCTGGGGAGTATCAAAACCTAGACAGAGTTGAAATATTACTGAAAAAGTAATATAGACATACTTAATACAAAATCAGGAGAATGAATCCAGTGCTGCAACAGAGCTAGAATGCCAGTATTTCTCCCTGTCCTTTGGCCTCCCCTGGGCTGCCTTTAGCCCACATAGAGCATATGTGTTTGCACATTTCAGACTCTTGAAATTTAAGCTAGTGCACTGAAAAGGGAGAATTTGTTTAGTGAGCCATGACTCATCCTGAGACACAGAAGAAAACACTTTTACCAGTGCTCTGGCCTAGATCTAGCCTGTTTCTCAAGGGCGGTCTGGCAATCAACAGCTTTGGAAAAACATTTGGATCCCTGCTGCCAGATGCAGACAGGTGGACACTGATCCAACCAGAACTCTTCTGGCAAACAGCTCCATCCTGCAAGACCATTGAGGCCTCGAACCTTGATGTGGTAAATGGTGAAACTAAACCAAGCAGCGACCTTGCTAATGGAGTTTTGGATGCTATCCTCAAGCAGTAAGAGAGGACCCAAAATATTCTGGGAGCAGGTGGTCACCCGGCAGCTGCTGCCAAACAAAATGTTCTCAGGAGTGTGGTAAGGCTTTAGAGAAAGGATTTTTGTCTTCACAGAAAGGTCTGAACACTTTGCAGAGGGAGTGTCAGGTGCATGACGGGGGTTTCAGGTCAGTGTGTTCTCCGTATCTGCCAGCTGGCACATGGAGAAAGCTACAGCCACTCAAACACAGGTCTGCTGAAATCCCGGGGTGCCACAATAGAAATAAATCTTGATATAGGATGCTCTGCTGTACATCTGGGTCTTGTGCTAAGTGGTGCCAATGTTAAATGAGACTGGGGGAAAGCTGCTTATTTGAGATTGCACAGGTAAGGAAGGGAGGCCTGCTCCAGACCTGTAGTCTAGCCTCCAGCTGATGCTTTCTTCTTTATGTGCAAGCACCCAATTTAGTTGTACAGTTCAGAGCAAGAGTTATCTTTCAGTTCCGTGTTTGTACAGTGGTGCCCTCACAGTGATGCCCTTCTCTTTGACTACAGCTTAGAGACGTCATCACAACACACACAGTAAATAATAATCAGGTCAAAGATAGCAGTGAATTAAACCAGAGCAAAAAGTCTACTGGAGGCTTAAATGGGTCACAGTGCCAGTTGAGGCAACCGGCTCTCAAAACTAAAAGAGAACATTCCTCTACAGAAAAATAAACACTATTCTTTTTCTCTGTAGCTAGATAAAGTGTTGTGTGCTTCCGATAAATCCATATGGTTTGCTTGCTTGCAGAGGAAAGCATGAACAATTCCCCAGATATCTTCCTCAGAAGTTGCATTATCAATAAATGCCTGTAATATCAGTTGGGTTCTTTAGCTGACACATCCGGCCAGTATCTTAATTGCAATAACTTCACGTCCCAAGAAGCCAATGCAGTGATATACAATGGACCTGATTCCAACCCCTAACCTCCCAGAGCCCGGAAAGTCTTTCAGCATTCCTGCAAACTTACATAAGAGAGAATGAGGAGATAACATTGTACGTTCACAGTCAAAAATGCAGAATGCTTGTGCCCTCTTGCAGAAAGGAGTGAAAGAATGGCCCCTTAGGAAGTGCTTCTCAATTAGAAAATGGCCTTACAGCTAAAGAATTTGGAGTGCAAAACACAAGACTCTTGGGATTGCCCAAAATTGTTTTTAACTCTCCAGAATGACTTGATTGCCCTTTTCCCCCTAGTCTACAATGCCTCAAACCGACTGAATACAGACGAAGTGCTGTATGTGCTGTATATCTTTATCCAT